TTTTAGGCTAAAAACACCTTGACTAAACACTTCAACTATGCAATATTAATTGAATTCTATTCATCATTTTGAGAAATCAACTTTCATAGTCTGAAAAAAGTTTATATTCATAATATTTACTTTCTACGGTCAATTTGCATTTCTAAACAAGCGTCAGAATTCAGATCCTACTTCGTAAATGCAAATCTTACACGTTTACTGATGGAAAATATTTTTTCTCTGATTACAACGCATTTATGCGAAATTGCACTGTTGTAGTCATTCCGTTGATAAAAGTTGATGTAATCGGTTATGAAGGTTGTGTGTATGTTAATCCAATTAATAATTCATACTTATTAGTATTTTAATATTTAAAAAATACAGACCAAGTATTTGCTTTCATATGGTTCTTTCCTAAGAGCATTGATCAACTTCTGTGTTAGCAAGTATGCAACAGGCATTATATTTAATTAAACGTTCATCTCTTTATCTAGTAAGTGAACGAAATATTTCCCTACATGTATTTAATTCTATCTAGTCATTTCTATCATTCTAAATTTCCAATTAAGCCTGAAGTAATACAAAGTACATTGTGTAGTGACAAACATATTTCTTCGTTACTTTCTATCAAAAGACTTTTTTTTATAAAACGAAAATATTTATTCGATACAAGAAAATCAATCACTCTTTTTTTTAAGGAAAAACAATACAGAAATTTGGCAGTTAACATTTATGTAATGTATATTCCATGATTTCAAAAACAAAAATAGATAGATAGAATAGAAACAAATAATGCCTCAAAATGATACTTAAGTCATCGATACTAAAATAATGATAAAAATTTAACATAATATCTTTTCACATTTACCAGACATATCTCCCCCCCCGCGAAAACTAAACTATTCGCCGGAAAAAAAACCAACTTCATAAATCAAAATACAAAGTCTGACCTTTGCCGGTAGAAATATATTTTTCTGAATCAAATAATTCAACCAATCATAAGTAAGATATGTTCAACGCATACTTTTTAAATTTTAACCAATCAAATATTAAATGTTGGCTTTAGTTATTACTGAATATAATGAAGAGAACACGTGTTAAGCCTTGTGTTGTTAGTATATAGGCAAATTAATTTTTAATATATAACTTATATGAAATGAATCGAATAATAGTAAACTAGATATACAAAAATTTCATTATATTATTCATCGAAAATGCATTGAACAAAAAAAAGAACAATATTGTGAATGTATTTCTTATTATATTTATAATGCTCAGGTTTATTGAAAAACAATTCAGGATATATTTTTGTATTTTACATTTATATATTGGTACTATATGGATATTTATTAATATCTGGTTATTTACTAATAATCTAGTTTATTCTATACCTCATCAATTTGGTGAATCTCTACAAATCAATGAAGCAGCGGTAAGTTATGTTTAAATAATCATATAATTTATAACATGATCCCGTTTTTTCTTTCCTGTAAGATTTAACTAGGTCTTCATTTATATTATCCTTATATCTGTTGATGTTGGTATACTTTTTATATGGACTTATATTTACAGGATACTTTAAGTATAGTATGGGAGTTATACTGATAAAAGATGAAAAAAAAATTTGTTAATTCCTTATAATATGCAAGTTATTTCCATACGCTTTGTATGTCTAACTTAATTTACTTGAGTTTGATTTAGTTTAGCTAAATGAAATATGTTTTACAAACATTTCTACATAGATTCATCAGTAATTAACTATTTATGTAGAAAAAGCGATCAATATATGATTTAAAGAAACTTGTTTGAATGAAAGATTGCATAGAGAAATTCTTTTCAGATGACTATTTTTCCTCCATGTAATCAATGGTAACAATGTTAATTTATACAATGGACTTTGAATTTTCATTAAAAATTTAATTGAATTTGTTTACTTAGTTATTATGATTTCTACTGATTGTATGACTCATAACAATTTTATCCACCCTAAAATATTAAAAAGCGTCTAATAACTGAAGTGTATAAATAAATAGCATGTTGCTAACATACTGAAAAGTCGTAGCATGAAAATATCCGGAGTGTAGTTCAAATAAATTTCACTGATTTTACAAATATAAAAAATATCTTAAGCCTATATTACTAGTCATGTTGTAAAGGTATCTCATATTAAATTGTTATGTTGTAAAAACAAATACTGACTGAGTATAATCCAGGACTTTTGTCATACAATATGTTTTACTTAATGAAATTAATCGATTTTTCATCTTTGAATAAAATTATTTCAATATAACACATTATTAGTAAGGGTTTAGTTTATTGTTGGTATCCACGTCAATACAGCTGACGAGTTTTAAATAAAATGAAAAGCCCATACTAGATCCCATTGGTAGCCACGATCTATCTATCCTACATGTCTATGAGTGTGATTTACGTTTAAGGATAATTAAACACATGCAAGCATATATATTGAAATAAGATTTCCAAGCATTTGACTTCAAATTGGAATAAATAACTATCATAAAGAACACTGACATTCACTTCTCTGTTAATTCACATGGGAGAAAAACTTGGATAACAATAGAACTCAATACTCTGTGGTTGATATTTTTTGACCGATGTAAAATCCTTGTTAAACAACTATTTTATGATATGAATAGTGAATGAATTGAAAAAAATATTTTTCATCCTTATTTAACGTGATGTTCACCGTTGTGGATTAAGTAATATTGTCTGTCTATCTATCTTTCTACTTCACGTTATATGTACATAAGCTGTATTAAACTACTATTAAGTAGTTTGGATTTGTTAACGGTATTTATATGCACTGTAAAATTTTAATTAATTCCCAGTAAGTTAATTAAAACGTGATAGTGTTCTTTTCATTTTATTTTGTGAATAGTAATTAAATTTTCAATTGTTTTTTAACTCTTAAGCATTGGACTTCTTAAAACTGGATAAGTAATCACAGTCAAGGAAATATATGTCTCACATTGACCATGATATCTTCAGACCATTAAGTTGAATTCTAACGATCTACGTTTCCATCTAGAATCAATTCGTGTTATGCTACTACGACTAATCCTTACTTTTGATGCTCACTTTCCCACTCCTCAAAATATTTGAACTTCATTATTCATGACTCCTTATTCAAACGTTAATTAGATGCTTTATCCTAATATCCTGTTATATTTATAAACATAAAATTAGTCAGGTCAATATATAACTCATCGATCTTATCGATGTGCAATACACAACTAATAAAGACTTCATATATAGATAATCACATTTATATTTCACTAAATAAAGCAGTCTATTGCAGAATATCATTATAAAAAATCACTTCAAGTTGTTTTACGATCAGGGATTTAAAGAAAATTATAAAATGAAATCAAATTCACAAGTTATTGATTTATACTTTCCTTATGGAACCAAACCGTTTGACTGCATTGACGATTTTGAAGGAAATGTCTGCTAGGGTTTTGTGATCAAAGTTAAGATGTTCCGGCATAAAACTACTGATTGTTTTACAAATACTCATACAAAGCCATGCAGGATAATGTTCGTAGATGCTTTTGTTACAGACTCTAATATTCTAATCAATTGAGAACCTAATTTTAAAAAAATGCTTAATTAAAGTTTAAAAAATATGAAAGAGTGACATGCATAGCTAAATATGAATAAACTAAGTGTATTCAGTGCCTCACTGAATAAGGATTATTACAAATAGAACATTACTTCAGCGGCCTTGTACCTGATTCCAGTTAGATCGTATGCTGATTGTCATCGTAATATACATTCCGGCTGCTCTCGTCTATAATCATCGACTTAACTCGCGTTAGTGAATAACGGAAATAAATAAGTCAAATATGAGAATAAATTTCGAACTTGTATATTTCACACAATCGTTGATCTCGACATAAAATTAGGGAAACAAAGTAAAGGTAGTGAAGAGGAGAGAGCAAAACAAAACAAAATGATGCACAATGGAGACGGCGTGTGGCCGACTCTTTTATTCAAGCGTAACTCGATATCTATAGTTTAACAAAAATAAGTTGCAGACACATGATGAATTGAGTAAGTAATTAGCACACATACGATCATATAAAAAAGTAATCGGAATTAATAACCAAATAAGTGATAGGGTAAAAATGTGACTTGAGAAGAATGAGTAGATCGGTCTGTACAGAGGCTAGAATAACCTATGTGGGCTTAACATAGTACCAACCCCTACAAAACTATCACATGTGTTAAATCGTCTAGTAATACCATATTCTAATTTCTTTATTGTTATCTGACTAATTTTAGATTGAATTTTTATTCCTAAATAAATTTAGTACAGAACTCAACTGATGTTAGCTTCCACTTTACACCTATTTCATGAAATACAGTGTTTGTTTACACTTAGAAACATTGGAATATTTAATAAAGACCAAGTTGGATTGGATGCACAGTATTATGAGTCATTATTTTTACCATTATTATAGATTTGTTTCAATATACTGTCTTTTTTTAATATTTACATGTGTTGTTATGGTAACATGATAACTCCCTTAGTCATGCGTTTTTTTTCTCTCCCTCTAAGTTGATCTATTCACTAAGATATTTTATTATTTGAGTAATATTAAGAACAGTCGGGTTGGTTGATACAAATACCCTTATTATTTAATAAATAATTCAAATTTATTTTTCTTTTACGGGAAAAAAGTAATCAATTTTAATCAGTAGATGGAATTAACTAGTTCACTGAGCAATTGTATAGATCATAGTCTTTCTTCAAAAAGAGAGTTGAAATTTTGTAACCGACATAAATTATTCCATGTAGAACTTCAGTTAATTAATTAATCTATTGTATTTATTATTAATTGTTCGTTGAATTTTTTAACATTCAACCATAAATGACATTATTATTATCGTTAAATATTTATAAGTGGATTGTAGGAACCTCCGGTTATGAATTTAATGATAGTGAATATGAATCAATTTGTCCTGTTTACAATTTCAATTTCAATTCTATGCAATTTATGAATTCAATTGATTTGATTCTAGTGTCCTAAAGTGAATGATGCAATCAATGAATTACGTAACATCATACTGATCTCTTCCAATGTATGATATATATGCTGTACTGATTAAATTTACTCAATAAAATAAATAGAATATGATGAGTTAGCTGAATAACATGACAAAATTTTTTATCGCATTGTTCAATTTGTATCATGGAATTGCTAGAATCCGCATTGTTTACAAGTAATTTCTTTCTTTTATTTTACTTAATGTTATATGCAGTTAAGTATCTAAGCTGTTAGTAAATTACACTGTTCATTTTAACAATTTAAGACAAAACTGGTATTTTATTTAGTGTGTTTAAAAGCGTAACGGTAGACTTCAGTGATATAATACAAAATAATTAAATTGTTCCTCATTACTTTTTATTTGGTTGCAACGACACAGGTGATGAGAACGGGTAGTACCGAAATTCTAAAACGGTTGACAGGTGTAATTTACCATAATAAATAATTAAAATTGATGTGGTGGAACGTATTCAACTTTGTGCTCAGGAAAATTGCCTTTTTTATATTATCCTTTGTGTCTGCAATTTTATAACTTCATAATTTGATTTTGAGTTATCTTTGGTTTGATGTCACTTATAATCAAACATGTAGACTTGAAACTAATTCAAGAATGGAAAGAAACAGTTATCCACTGGTCAGTAGCTTCTTTTATTTCCCTAGTTCTTATTGTCTGCTCCATTAACTACATGTTATAATACTACTTGTAAGTAGTAAAATAATAATTTCCACAATAGGTCTCACTACTAAATCTACAAATTTATTTCTAATTTTTTTCTACCTCCACTAATTTTCCCTATTTTTCTCTGCATTGTTTAGTCTTTGTTCTACAAAAACGTTAATATTTCTTTAAAAGTCCTGAACCATTATTTCAGTTGATTTTATGCATCAGAATTCGTGTTATTTGCGATATATTACTTATTGAAAATAAGTACAACAGATTCTATTGGTTAAATCAAGATACTCTAATATGATCTTTGTTAGTTTGTAACCAAATTAATTACGTTATAATCAGCATAATATCTAACACTAATCAGTAGAAACTAAAGTTAGTACTTCCTATCAATATTGTAAGAAGGGAAATTCGTGTGATAACCAAAACTGTACATTCAGTTGTAGTGATAAATTTTCATGTAAAATCAAATCAAAGAATGCAAGTAGTATGGATAAAAAAATGAATGTCTGAATATAAGTCATAAATCCATCAAAAATGTTATCGAAAACGTCCGCACCTTTGGACATGACTCAACTCAATAGCTGATGGCTTTATGATTCCACCGGATTCAATCCACCCATGACATATAGTCAGTAATGTTCAAGAATGTCCTTATGTAGGACTGGTCTGCAGTACACATTTATAACTCCCTCAGTGATTAAACTCAGAACCTTCGGTCTTGCACACAAATGCACAACCTCTAGACCACTGGTCCAGTGCTCTGCGGTTTATAAGTCTAGCTTCAGTCGGTTTACTAGAGTGTGCAAATATCTTCCGTTGTGTTCATTGAATACATTCCTCATACCGGGCAGGGTTGATCTCTACTAGAACTATGGGAATTTTCTCTCGAGTTTGGTCACCAGTGAGTACTCAATGTTTATCGTGTAGGGGACTTGTAGAGATTATTAAATGTTAAATGAATCTCTACAACCTCTTTATAGTTATTTTTCTGAAACAAAATATACCTTTAGTTAGTTATAATGTGATCTTAAAGGCAATGAACGATTTCATAACGGAATCTTTATACACTCGATTTTTGGTCGAAATTCCCAACATAGATATGCAAAACAACATAAAAATTCTTGGTTTATTTGTCATTTTATATATACATATATCCTCACCATTTCCTTCTCAGTAAAATAACCACAAATTACGTAGTTAACAAATCGGCCAAATCTATAGATAGAATACTTTTAATTTTTATGATTATACTTTTTTAAGGAAGTAGGTGGTTGACCATATTTGGTTATTTGCATTTATCATGCTGACTCACATCTTAAAAAGCAAATATATTTTGTGACACATAAGTGAATACAGTTGGTTAACATAAAAATTATCAATAATTATAAAAGAGTAATTTGAAGGTAATTTTTGTTAAGAACTAATACTAGTTAGAGAATCACTAAACATTTGTCCTGCACTGGTTTTGGAACTGTTTAACGGTTCCCGTTCAAGAATGTCAGGAACCAGTAGTTTGTAGCTCATCAACGAAGTCAGATAAGGATTTTAATGCATCATATATAAGTTACCGACAATACAGGACACACAGTTGAATATAAATTCACTATCTTTTATCAGATTCTTATATATGATCCCGTTTATTTGATTATAAATTATCATGAGAATATAATTTTAATTCGACACTGGTTTTCAATGCCTACACATGAATAATAACCCTTTATAATGAAATCTTGCTTCGCGGATGAATAAAATATATCGTTCTGTTTAAAGAAATAATACGGTTAAACACTGATTATCCTGTTTAATAACCATGTAGAGTTATCAGTTATAAATAACCTTAGGTTACTTCACACTTTTCATGCATGTGACATTCCAAAATCCGTTAATCAGATCACAAACTTTTGTATTAGTTATGAAGTCACAGTATATCGATAATTTTATACAACGTTCTATCATTATATATATATATATATATATATATATATATATATATATATATATATTCATTCTTAATAAGGGATGTACTAGTAAAATCTTTTGACTTTTAATCTAACATGTCGACGAATAACAACCCACACGTACCTCTTACAGCACTCGAGCTTATCACGTTTACAATCAAATTCCTTCTTTGTTTCCTTATATTTATTCTATTTTCGTGATCCACACTCTTTCATCTTTATCTTCTTGGACACATCTTACTAATGTTGATGATTCTAATACACGATGTGTTATTTCAGGGTCACCTACACCGTTCTTCAAATTACATAATGAAGCTTTCAGTGTTTAAACCTTATGTCAAATCGTGGACTAGGTTTCACAGCGACGCAGATGAATTGACTTTTTATTTTCTTCCAGGTTTTAAGTCTGTGTTTCTTCTCAAATCACATTTCCTATGCTCAGTCTTTCTTACTATTACTGCCATAATTATTTTGAATGTTTTGTCATCCATCTTGCTAACTTCGCCTCGATGTTAGTTCCATGCTTGATACTGATGGAAACTGATCAATTGACAACGGACCAATATTTACAAACCGGGAATTATAATTAGACAGAATCGATAGAATTTACAACCTATCTCTTCAGCTTCTATCCTAACCCTTAATAGTAATTAGATTCCACTTGTTTATATACTTCCATATACAGAGATCGAACCACAAATCTTAGTTGCAAATGGCATTGAATTTCTTAAACCGTCGTTTTATTGACTTATCATACCATACTTTTATCCATTTAGCTATACTGATTTCTAACGAAGTACCTGGATATTTGACAGTTGTTTCATCTGAATTTCTATTGAAAAAAAAATGAAATGAAATTATTCGACAATCACAAATCCATCCACATTTGTCTCGAAATGTGTGAAAATTTTAATGGACTAAAAAAAGGATAATTGTATTGATGACAAATAGTCAGTCTGATAGCAATTTAAAACCGGGTTGTTCTACGAAGATAAGAAAAAATTTATCTATACAATTCATTAATACCAGAATAGGGATTTGTAGAGATTATATTAATTCTAATAGTTGGATTCATGAGTCGATCTAAAGTAAAACATCACTGAAAATCTGGAAGCGCTGGATGGCATCTTCGTCCTAATATGGGAATCTTTAGAGGTGCGCATCCACGATTCCGCATGTTGGACTCGAACCCAGGACCTTCAATATCGTGCTGTGACCAGTGGGGTTTAATCCCGACCGAAGCTGCTACCTTGACGCTGTGGTCGGGGTTGCCTATCGTGATGACCCAACCGAGCTATATTGGCTGGAACATATGTTCCTGTAGGTTCTACCATGCCAGGCAGGTCGATTGGAGAACGGTAAGACTAAAAGCAGCAACTCAAGGTCTGAGGGCGAAGTCGTACTGCTGACTGTAGAGAGGTGTGACAGCAGTAAGGTATTTCCCTCGGACAACCAGCATCTGCAGCGATGTTGCTTTCCCACAAGTATGGGTGGGGTTAGAAAAGGTCGACCCCAAAAATGTCACACCTTACCTAATCTCACGGATTTCTGTCTCCGGCGGTAAGGCCCTTTGAAGAACGGAGCTAACACATTAAAAACCTTCCACGAAAAGGCCGTGCGCGACCGGCCTCAAGCAGTTGTCTTTTGGGCTCTTCAGTCACGCTCCCAGGTCGTTAAGACCAACGCTAATCCGACTTCTTTTTCAGGTTCCTCAAGAAAAACCCTTCCACGCTGTGGGCAGCCGGGAAGTGATATCAGCCCTCATACCCGTAACAGCACACGAATCCATGTCGGGTGGAGACAGTTATTCACTTCAGATAATGGATGAAATGTTGCGCAGGGTCATGGATCGATTGAAGTCAGGGGTTAGGCGTTCGCGCTTGAGACTGAGGGCCCTGTATTCGAGTCCCGCTTACGAGATTGTGGACGCGTACTGATAAGGAGTCCCATACTAGGACGAAAAAGCCACTCAGTTCTTCCAGGTTTCCAGTGGTGATTTAGCTTAGATCAACTCATGAATCCAACTGTCAAAATTTATTAATAGACAAAGCCTTCATAGAACAGCTTAAACTAACATATGCGAATTCGTAAGCAGTTAATGAATGGAATTTCTTTGTTAATGTATCAAAATGAGTCTTATCGTTATCGAACTATTTCTATGGTATTGGACAAGTTAACCTATTACTTTTGTTATTCCTTACTTGATCACATAATTTGAATTAAAAAAACAGAACTTCAAATTTAAATCATCAAGAAATTAAGTAAAAATGGAATTTGATCAATGGGAAAATGTACCAACATGTTTGAAATACTATTGCAAATATGAAAGTAACTACATATTTTTATATTCATTGTCAAAAAGTGGTAGGATTGTTTCCCATTTTCTATATTAATACTCTCCTTTATTTAAAACAATAATCTATCAGGATTGTATTTAGTGTTAAAATCCATAATGACAACGTATGGTATTATCCAAATGCTTACAATCACAAATATATCATGTTTAAACACACTTATTCTAGATTAGTCGGAAAGAATTCCAAGGCCTAAATGATCCGACAATTTATTACATACTTTAAGTGAATAGCGATAAATTTCAAAGTTTTAATAGATATGAGCTACTGAATGAACTGAACAGTGAAAAAACACAATGGAAATTAAACGGAATAGAAACTTGATGTAATATAAGTTCGTTTATGATAATTCGATTAGAAATATCTTTTGAATGGGTAGTGAGGTGAAATGAGTAGAAAATTTCCTTCATAGTTATTCTTTAACCTATGTTTGTTTGGTCTCGGATAATTTCCGTTTGACCATGGAGATATAGGTAGTTTACTTAGAAGACTGCTCCTCGAAACTTTCACTGAAGGATCTAATCCATAACGTCACGAGATGCGACTCCATGGTGTTTGGTAACCAAAATAACAATCTAGTATCCACCAGCTCGGTTTAAGCTCCGAGCATCTACTTTTCCTCTCTCAATGAGGACTTCCTAGACAGTAACTATAAACCCGAGGTTATATAAGAGTTCCAAGAAAAAAGCGAACCTCGTCCACCTTAGTCATTTAGGTGTCTGTATTCAAGTTGATGATATTGTAACCATCTATCCCTGGACTTGAAACGTATTAGACTGTATTACTTGTTTGAATTTCTATATGGATTCTGGGCATACCCTGGTGTGTCCGCAAAAACTTCACTGTTAAAATTCAAATGACTTCTATAAGACTAGCATGGGTCTCAGGTAACACCCACTCCTCATGGTGAACTACTGGAAATGGTCAGAAAATTCGTATATCTGGGGAGTTTTGTTAACGATATGAGTGGTGTATCAGATGACATCAATCTATGTGTAAAAAATGCTAGAGCGGCTTATGTCAATTTGGATTATCTTTAGGACATTTATAATACTGGTTATACAACTCCATATTTGATCAGATACGGCTTGGAATCCAAACCACCAGTAATCCTGTTTATTTTCATCACATTTTTCATAAAAGTGGGATAAAATACTTTCACTGAAAGAACGTTTACTTGGTTGTATTTTTAAGTAAACTCTTAAAGTAATTAATATAGAAATTTTGTTTTAATAAAATATTTTTTTTAAAAATTACACTTCAAATTTGGTTTTTCTAAATTACTGTTTACTTAATGTTGTAAATGTTGATAATTAAGATTGGATTCATTAGTTTAAAAACTAATATATTCACGATGGTGTTTGAGAATACTCTAAAAACTTGAAGTTATATGGTTCAATGTATTGATGTTTTAGTGTTATTACTTACTTACGCCTGTTATTCCCAATTGAAAATAGGCTGCCGATCAGCTCTCTCCAATCCATTCCTTTCTAGTTCTATCCAATTGTTGTTCATTCTTCTCATGTCTGTCTCCATTTCTTGACGTAATATGTTCTTTTGCGTTGAGGATTTCAAGTGAGTGCTTGCAGTTGTGTGCTTTCTTCACTGTGTGTCCTATCCACTTCCAGCTCTTCTTCCTGATTTCTTCCTTCGCTGAAATGTGATTTGTTCCCTCCCACAGTAGGCTGTTGCTGATAGTGTCTGGTCAACGGATTCGAAGTATTTTGCGTAGACAACTGTTAATAAACACTGTCGATCCCAACCCCGGATAAAGAAGGATGATCGAGCATGGGATTAGTGACCCCATCCTGTAGAAATCTAACTCGGTAAAAAACACTAACCAGAAAATAATTCAATTGAGCGATATTGTTTACTGGAAAAAAAGAATTGTTTCTAAATTCAACACGTTTATTACCAATACTTATGTAATGATGCCTTTTGTTTATGTCATAAACTTAGTTTCTCTTCATTTATTTTATAAGCGCAAAAATAACCAATTGATTAACTAGACAAAATAACTTTTTTATTATAATCAAAATTTTATTCTATTCTAGACTATCGTCTGTAACTTGTAAATTAAATATTATGTCATATTTACATGTATCATGATAGAATAAACATTGTTTATTGTTAGCTACGGGTAATCAGATATTTTATACAGACTGATCAAAATAAAATTATATATATGTATATATATTTGTCATTCCAATAAATGAAGAAAATATTGTTTAATTGTGCATATTTAACTACAGTAAATATCAGATTTGGATCTTGATCATAAGTTGTTGTTGTTGAGATGGGTTTAGTGAAAAGTACAAGTAATTTCATTGTTGATATTTCACTGAGACTAATAATAATGTGAAATGGAAGTTGCAGGAAGTGTATGTCAGTATTTAATTTAATACACAACATGCCGGTATATATATATATATATATATATATATATATATATATATATATATATATATATATATAACAAATCTCGAATATGAATATAAACCAAATTGATAATGAAAACTAGATAAACATGAGTTCGTTTTCAATCATGTTATAATTACTACTCATTATTAATATAGATGAAAGTTATTTACATGTGTATCTTTTAACTTGAGTACATTTTGTATAGCTTGTCTATTCTTTTAACAATAAAGTTGATTAGTATGTTCATAAGCTTGAAGTTTTATATGTTTTCTGATGTGTGGGTTTTAAACAGATCATTCATTCTTTAGTCTACATCGCCTGGTGACAAAATAATTTTGTATTTCTAGTTAAAATATAATTTTCTGATATCCAATTACAACAAACAATAAACAGGAATTATACTAATCCCAGTAAGAACATATCTATCGATCGTATAATGGCAATCAAGCTCAGTATCCAAGTAAAGTCACCAATAAGAAAGAAATTTATTCAGTTGAGTTGAAGAAAACAGTCTTTCATTAGTATTAATTACTTTCTCGAAATCCGTATATCACTTGACCAAAAGAAACTTGCATATGTTTATTGTAAATAACAATGGGAAGTTACAAGTAAAACATCGCCAAGTGAAGTCATTTAAGTATTGTTGAAAAAAAATTTGAAAAGCGAGAAATGCACTTGTATGTTACCTTTTTTTGTTTCTTAACGAATACTCGAATGGTGGTTTTGTGAATAAGGTCGAGTTTCTTCTGTGAATTGAAATATTTATATATATGTATATATAACTGTAACTTTTTCAACTATGTTTTTTTCTGTTTTTTTCTTAAACTAGAATTTGCTATACCGATACGGGTACATGGATGACTATTCCAAAACCCATAATAATAATCATAATAATGGTAACCCTATACCACCAGATCGAAATCCATATGAATCTAAATTTCTTTATCCAGATAAATTATCATTAACTAATCCACCGAAAGAATTTAATAATGCAGTTAGAAAATTTCAAAGACACTATAGTCTACCTATTACAGGTAAATTAGATGAAGCTACAAAAAATCTATTAATTTCACCACGTTGTGGCAATCCAGATCAACAAATTAATTTGAAACAATCATCAACATTATTATCCAAATTAAAATTTGGCAGTACATTCCATTTTAATCATAATTATTCATTAACTGTACAAAATGCTAATAATAATAATAATAATCACAATGAAAGAAGATTATTAAAAAGACAAAAACGTTATTTAATTGGTGATGAAAAAATGAAATGGACAAAGAAACAATTAACTTGGCAGTGTGTGAAATGTATTTTTAGTTGTGTTTTTTCTTGTTTTTAATAAGGGTATAATTTCCTTTCCCCTGAATTATTTTCGCTTTAATCAAGTTTAACTTACAAATTTATATATATCTTAGACATAAGTCTAAATAATTGGTGAACTAAAGTTAAAATGAAAACCATATCTACATAACAGGACATAAGTAGTAGTTAGATTTAAGCTCGAAATTTGTAGATAAATGACTTGTTTCAACTTATGCTATAAACCAGTTTAGTTAATTTAAATTGTAAACAGATTTCATTTCCAATTTATTCATGATAATCTTCTTTTATAGTTATTACTTTTCTCACTGAAATAACAAACTGTTCTAACTTAGATAAGTATTGAAAACTTAGGTCAGTTCGCGATCTCAGTGACACTCAATAATCTCCATAAATCCCCCAGACCGACGTTACCAATCTATTTATAATGTAACATATGTTTCAGTTTTATTCATTATTTACATTTAAATGAAGATTTTTTTGTTAAAAAGCTCATTTATCTGCGGAACGATACGATATGATAATTTTTATACTGTTTATAAATAACTCCCAGCTCTAAACTATTTCCACTGTATCGCAGAACGTATTTACAGAAAACGAAGCTACCATTGACTAATATTATTGCCAGAAGCGGTTTTGTGGAGATTTTTAGAAATTTCACAGGTTGAAATCATGAGTCAACTGAAGCTAGACCACTATGGAAAACCTGAAAGCACTGAACGGCCGTTTCGTCCTAGTACGGGACTCCCCAGGAGCGCGCATCCACGATCCCGCACCCCGCGAGATTCAGACCCGGGACCTATCAGTCTCGCGCCAGGCGCCTAACCAACCAGACCACTGAGCCAGCATCCAACGGTGTTAATGTCTAACTTCAACCAATCCACGAAGTTGAGCCACCGTACACGATTGTCTTCAGTGAGTTGATATCTCACAACAGACCTGGTTGAACTCCACTGGTAACGGCTTCTCACTAGAACCCCAGGAGTATCTCTTGAAGTCAGTCACTAGTGAGCAGATGATTATTTTCAGAAAGGGTTTTGTGGAGATTTTTAGAAATTTCACTGGTTGAAATCATAAGTCAATTGAAGCTAGACCACCATGAAAAACCTGGGAGCACTGGACGGCCGTTTCATTATTCTAACATATTATGATGTAAAGCACGTTTAAATCTTACTAATTTTACAACACTTTTCGAAAGAGAAGAATTTGTATTACTAAATAGTATTCGTATCATATTTAGATGTATATACTACTAAAAAATATTTTCTTCCATTTTTTCGACGTAAGACAAACATGTTGAAATAAATATAATCCATATGATTATTAGTAACCTAAATTGAATATATGTCAGTTTTATTTGGCTGTTTTAAACGTTCGGTGTGAAGTTTCTTAGTTAAAAACAAAACAACCAAACTGAATATTACTAGCGTCAGATTTTCATACAGGATGTAGTTTTAATGATTACAAGTAAAAACAATGATTTTGTATGTTCATAACAACACCACAACGTGGATTTTATTCTGTAAATAATAATTTGGCACATAAATGTTTTAAATGTCTTAAAATTTACTAGAACTAAATATATAATCACAACTGAAATCGATTTTGAATCTTAAATTATTTCTAATTTTGTACCGATCCAAAGGTCAAACATAATTATGATGAAAAAGTAATGGAATATTATAGATTATTTTGTACACGTAATCAAAACGAAGTCGTGAGCACCTACGTTTTGTAGTGATTGGCACTCGTTAAAAAATTTATCTGTCGTATTTTAAGAAAAATAATGCTTCTCTTGGTATTCTAATCTGTTTTATGAGGTGTCTCATATCCAGAGAAGTCACTACTGAACTAACCCAGTAACTGGGTGACACGAGATCAAATCCACCAGGTACATCTCGCTGAATAGTCGAAACTGAGGTCCAAGGTTTTCTGTCGACTACCCTCAAGCATCATCTTACTTCTCAACATAGTTCACGCAGTGTCGAGTCATTTAGACTAGTGGTTACATTGCAACTTGATCGACAGAATTCGATCTTCACCAAGAAAGACCTGACAAACGTGATATTGGTCACCACTCAATGATCAATCATTTGTAAAAATCCAATATTCATTGCGAGTAGTTACTTGCATTTCCTAATTCTTAATTATATTACTATTACAAAATATTGAATAAAAAATGAATAATATTGGCTTTATATATGAAATTAACTAGATAGATGGTCTTTGAATTCATAAACCAGAACTGTCAATAATTACTCATCGATAATATTGTACTACTTATATAAAGAACTTTTCTCAATCCCAATCCAATTGAAGTCGAGAAATTTATATCAATAAAATTTAGTGGCCGTTCATTCTGTGTTGGTCTAGTTATACACCATGACTGTATTTCGAGGTAAATACCATTTATTCAATATTATTTTGAATCAAGGGCACTTTTAAAGCCTATGTGAAGTGCTCACGTTTATAGGCCACCAAGATGTCTAGAAAATGATAAATTCACAATATTCACATTAGAGTTCAGTAGGTACTGTTTTTTATCTATATATACTAAGAAACGGTGCATTCATTTTTTAATGGTATTCGGTTATAGTTAACAAAAGTAGCTCTTGAACAACCAAAAATAGCTTTTTTATTTAGTTCGAAGTTCACATTACTTACGTATGTAGTTCTTATTGAAAGACATATTACATCTGGTTTAATGAACTGATGATATGTATGAATATATAATTATATATATTTATATATCCCCAGTGGAAAACTCAGTTATGGAAACCAGTAAACGGATTATTCTACAATGTATGGAAGAGATATCGGAAATAACTGTATTATTGAAACCGTTAGAAAATGACAGCTCATAAACCAGCAATATAACTTAAATCAAACTTGAACATACTGAAAGGAAAAACAAAAGAAGATGATCCAACTATCATCATAGAAAAAACTCTCCGAAGTGCAAAAAAAACATTACATTGAACAGAGTAGTTTCCTTACTCATCGTCGTCTTCATCAACATTAATTGGCTGTCAAGCGCCACGATATATCTTCGCTTATATCAATGTACTTAGATAAGTGTTCAGTAGCAACACAAATAAGTCCCGAGTATTTTAAAAAAGTTTGCTATTTAAGTTAGTCAGTAAACAATAAACATATCGGCGTGGATCTAATTTATCAACCAATAGTACATAACTATGAGGCCAAGACTCAGTTTGAAGGTGAAAACCAAAATAAATGTGCAAACAGTGGTAGAACAAGTATTGACAAGAATCGGTTCAAATCATTGTCATTTGGAAACGTATCGTCATAGCTCACTTCTATCTGAAACTAACTAAAACTTTTCAATTAAATTATCTACTTTAAAGAATTCAACTTTACCAAAAATCCACATTGTTCAATCAAACATTAAGGAAATATTCAACCTTGAGTTTTATTTACTTAAATTATAATCTCTCAGCTGTTTTGTTTTTTTTTCACAATGTATTTTACTAATAAATAAACATGAACTCTTACTTACTACTTATTTTGAAGTTGTTGTTGGTTTCTTTGAGATCAAATGATTGACACTCATCATTTCATGTCATTGATCATTGATTCAATGTAGAATAACATTTTAACTAGTCATTTCCAGTATATTTGAATAGATTCTATGCCTAACATTATACATTATTATATGTGCATTTTAATGCATAAAAAATTTACGCTTAAAGTTCAAGTCATTTGCATAATTATGTTTTGAATTACATGTGTTTAATAGTACATCCTTTGGCTTGATATTTATTCATCATCACGAGAAATAAATGTGATATATGTATATATAAAGTCACTTATACTTCCGGAGGTCAATCAAACAAAATCAAATAACACAGTTAATGTATTCAGTCTTTATTTCTCTATTCTATTTAGTCCCTTTCTATGCATAATTTTGTAAACTACTGAAAATATTACTTTGTTTTCTTTCTTTACAAACTTACTAACTACTATGGTTTATGTATTAATAAAATAATCAATTCACAGTATTTATCTATGTTGATAATATGTTGAATTTGGTTATTTATTCTCTGAAGAAGTGACTTGCACTAAGTCACGAAACATCAGAATATATAATTTTTCTACTCATTGGGATATTACAGATATATTATTTTTGTTTATAATATGTTTAAATGTTTTCATGTACACAGACATTTTAGATTGTTCAAGAAATAAACCATCAAATTAATTGAGAATTAAAATCATTTTGAGTACGTTATTAATTGATTTCAACATTCTATAGAAATCTTGGATTATTAAATAGATCATGATTGTATTAGTGAGAATAAGAACAAAAATTAAAATATATTTACTAACAAGAAATATAATACAAATTGTAAATAATTATTTAATCTAATATAGGTTCAATATAATTCATGTAATAATTGAATTCATGAGTCAATTGAAGCGAGACCACCATGGAAAACCTGGAAGCACTGGACGGCTGTTTCATCCTAGTATGGAAATCCTCAGCAGTGCGCATCCACGATCCCGCCCCACGAGATTCAAGCCCATGCGCGAACGCTTAACCTTAAGACAAGTGAGCCGGCATCCAAAGGTGTTAACGTTTAACTTCAACCAATCATTCATATCTTATGAAAACCATACTTGATCAAAGAATTCCTTTCTTTCTATACTCATAAGATCAAACGTTGGAACATTTTACAAATAATATTTTGGGACTACTCATAATTTAATAAAACTAGTAATGGGTAATTTTTCAATTCATATATATCGTGGATATGGACTTCTGAGGAATCCCACGATAGAACGTAACGAGCGTCCAGTGCTTCCAGGTTTTCCATGATGGTCTAGCTTCAATTTGCTCATGATCTCAACTATTGAAATTTATATATATATTGGTTGTTTGAGTTTCCCCATTAATTTTTAGGACTGCGACTGATCAGTCTCTTTTTGGCATATGTGCACCTAGTGCGAATCGCCTCAATATTGCTAGTAAGTTACAAGCGTTTTTAGGTGGAGATCGATGGTGGCCAGCAGTAGAATCTAGGACGCGTGTTTTGGCTTGATTGGGACTTATCAGCTGGATGTACTTGCTTACTTACTTACGCCTGTTACTCCCAATGGGGCATAGGCCGGGATGTACTTGCATCTTAGAGTTTATGTTCACCAGTAATGGGTAAATTATTTTCTAGCTTACAAAATTGAAATTACAGTTTTTTTCTTCAGAGTATGTAAACTGCGAGTACAGATTTAGTATCTGGCTAGAAATTTAAAGTGTATGGTTGCACGAACTATCCCTTAATCTTTTTATTAACGTAGAATCATTAGGGGGTACTATACTACTAGCTATCATTTAAAATTTAGCGATGAATCACTACCGTGTATAGACATAAAGACTTTCAAATTAACCTTTTCTTATAACATTTTTTATTCAGTTAAATAATATAATTAAAATTTTGTCATGTTAACGGGTGTTATTCGCCTTTCACCTCACTCTTGTTCATTGTCTTTGGTTTTTTTCTTCTAGAATCCAAAGTTATCCATCACATTCTTTATCAAGGGTACGTGCACATGCAGTATTTCAGCATACATTCAATTTATGGTCAAGAGTGGTTAATTTAGATTTTGTGGAAGAAAAAGATTATTATAAACCAGCTGATATTGTGATACGATTCGGAGCTGGCAAACATGGAGATTCTATACCATTTGATGGAGCAGGTCAGTAATCCCATTAATATGTGTGTATTTTAATTATATATATTGACTGGAACTTGGTAAAATATATTTAAATGAGTAAAACTCCACAGTCTTGTGATGTTGTTCAGTTTTAGATAACTTCATAATTTATGATACTTGCGACATCCGCTGTCTGTAGTTTAAAATTTTATGTGAAAAGGCTCAGAACCTTTCACAATACCACATATGTTTCATTGTTTACCTTCCTCTTGACCTTATATTCCTATGCTTCTTCACACATACTTTTCCATCCTGTCATTTTGAACAGTATTCTCATGATCATTTCTATTAAATGATTTGGATCACTTTTGTCATTCACCTTTTTATATTCATTTCTTCGTGTTAATGTAGTATAGAAACTTGGGTCGATTTTAACTCTATATTAATGATGATTGACTTACTGAAGGTATAAAAAATAACATATTTTCAAGAAAATGAATTTTCAACTTCACCATAATATAATTAGATTGTGAACATTTCCATTTGTTTAAATAGTAGTTACGTAACTTTTTAAAAAATTTCCTTACACTGTATTTTTGGTTATTCAGTGATAATCAGTCAGTCAGCTACAATATAGGACTGATACTGATACTCACAATGATATTGTAGAAATAACAACATTGTTCTATTAAAAATAGAATCTCACCTTGAATGTAGTTCTAATCTGTAAATATGAATAGTATTTCCATCTGATGCTTCTTAATCATTATTAGTGTTACTAATAATTTTAAATATTTACTATGTTATATTATACATCATTTCAATCTAATTTTTGTCCATTAAGTAGGTATGCTCCACATGGTAGAGTGGAACTTTAATTAAAGATTTCACTCACAAACCCTAATGTTTACTACCTTTGTGTTCTTCATCAGAAATATCCAGCTAGTTTCAGTCAGTCGTTATAGCTGATTGGGTGCTTACCTACTACCTATCTAATTTACACTGAATATGTTCTTAGTGTTGTAACGGGTGTGACTGCAGGTTTTGATAAGCAGCGTATTCATTGATCGGTTCGGTGGACAGTGACACGGAATACACGTAATGAACGGCCTAGTGCCCTGATTGGCCCTGCTTCGCTGTCTGTCCTAGACCAGTTGAGTCAAGAACACAAGTCACAGCCTCTGAGTTATGAATCATTGTACTTCAAACATACTCCATTTATATACCAAGCAAACAAACCACATCGTACCATAAAATAGGAAACAACATTTGTACAATATTTAACAAGTGAAGTAAACATCGACCAATAGGAAATGTACATTTAAGGTCCAAGGCCACCATAGACTTAACACGATAATTATTGGTATATTTTTCCGACTATCCTAACACTTAGTAAACACCTAAGGATATCTTCAAACTCTAAGGACGGGAAATTTGCTGAAACTTCCATTGGGCTATGCAGCACTCACTAAATTAGCGAAATATTTACCCAAATAGTTGGATATAGTACACTAAAGGGATATCAAAAACGTTAAAAACTACCTTTGCCAATTATATTGAACAAATTAATTTGTGAATTGTAAAGATTTTTGTATAATTTTTGTTTTCATTATGCAATAATCAATTGTTTGCCACATTTTTTTCTAATCTCTTTTTCATTACATAGGTGGAGTACTAGCACATGCTTACTATCCAACACCGGATAATGTATATTCATTTTCTGGTGATGCACATTTCGACGATGATGAAATCTGGAATGATGGACCACATAAAAGTAATATTTATTTCTATATTTTTTTCACAAGTTAAATTTTTAAATATAGCTCTAGTTACGTCAATTAGTAACTTGGGGTTATTGAATAGTCGGTATTTGTTTATGAAGATTGTTGAACTTCAGTGAAATCACGAATCGATCGAGATTTCTATAACCAATGGACACCTGGAAGTATTGAATGGGTACTTCGTTCTAGTGCAGAACTACTCAACAGTACACACTCACTACCCAATCGCCAAGACTCAAACTTAGAACCTTTGTTTGCTTGTGCAAACGCTTGACGCCCAGACCACTGACCAGAAGTCTATAAGTATAAGTATAAATTCAATTAATCCACAGTATTCGGTAGTTAATGAGAAGAAAATAGCTTTTATTTTGCACTGGAATTCTATGGAAACTATCGATAGAGGGATTTCAGCTAGTAAATAATATGAATAAAAATGAGAAAAATAACTTCTAGTTGCTTTCAAGCAAAATTACTGAGTTACAATTATATCCTGAGCGTTTTTCACACTTACTCACCAGATAACAAACACGGCATCCGCATAAAATCTGAAGATCACTTAAAATATAAAAGAAATAAGTATCTCTAGTCTATCAGAACTGAGAATTATTTGATTAACCATTGAGTACCAACCAATGTCATGTTTAGTAAATCTTCTAATTATCTTTGTAAAATCTTTTGAATTCGTAGTAATATAATCTAACACATGAAGATATGACTGTTACTGACTTTATTAGTAATGTTAAATATTTATATATTAGCGCTGAAAAAGAGTATTGTAAAGGAATATGACTTTACCTTACTAGCCATTGTAAAATTATTAAATGGGCATTTTTCGATGAAGTTTTTAATCATATATCCGATGTACAAGTAATATGTTACATTAAGTATTTTCAACCGTTTTCCCTTTCATTCAATGAATGAGTGTTTGATATTGGAACTAAAAAGAAGAATTATAAATGTATGACGTTGATCACTAAATCAATGATCAGTCAGTTGTAAAAATCTCGGTCTTACAAGAGATCAGTCTCACTCTGAATATCTAAGTGATAACTTCTCAGACCGTGAGGGTAGGTGATGTGGGATCAAATCCCACAGTGAGCACCTGTTCCCTCAAGTTTTTTGTATGTCTTGTTTACGAGTGTTAAATAATATGAAACCTAGGTATAATGTATCCTGTCGACTACCTCCAACTTTCTAACACATTTCAAGATTTTATAAATTTTATTTTGTGTTTTCATATTGTTTCTTTACAGCACATAGAAATTTGATTTCCGTCGCAGCTCATGAATTAGGGCACAGTTTAGGATTAGGTCATTCATCTGTACCAACTGCCATTATGTATCCTTACTACACAAGAACATGGGAAAAAGTTAAATTGGATCCAGATGATATCGCTGGAATACAACAAATTTATGGTAAGTATACCATTCAAACAAATGATATCTTTTATTCGATTGAAATTAAAACATTTAGTTAGTAAACTAAAAACTACTGTATATGATATAAAAAAATTACTGGTAAGGTAGTTTTAATAATGTACTTAAATTTACATGTACGGTATAAATATATGTGGATAAATATATAACTCATTTTTAAGTACAAACACATGTGCTTAACTTTCAACTATACGTCTTATATGAGGGCCAGTATTATCAACCGGCTATCGAAATCAAAGAGGTTGAAAGGAGATTTGGACTTGTAACCTAATGACTAGGACTCAAGTGCTTCAAATGTCAAATTATTTCCTTGTTCATTGAGTTGATGGGTCATTAGCGAATGGATTTTAATTTAATTTATACAAATTAGTCACTCAGTATATATTTTTGTACTAGACTTCCAATCAGATTCACTGTATAGAGACTTGCGTTGTGAACAGATTATATTTTGACAGTTTAGTTTGTTAATACACATGATATAAAACTTTCCTTCTAATTTTTCACTCATACTGTTCTATAGATGAACTAATCTTATTGAACAGTTCATTTAGATTTTTAACTAATCAACATGAATCATTCAGTCAGTTTGTGTTACATGATGCGATTTATTCATCATCATATAATCGTTATAAGAAAACATGGTAGAAATTACTGAGGAGAGGTGACCATCAACCTTCCTTGAAAAAGGCCTTATGCTTATGGGTATGTCAAAAAGCTCAGAGGTGAAAGCCTTCGTACCAGTCATTTACATAGGTGACAGTCAGCTGTAGCAAATATATTCAAAGGTACCAGTGACCATCCACGCTCCCATGTGGGTGAATATACCTATATGTATGCTCTGGAATTTATGGGTGTAAACTTGTGCGTTGCCGGTGTGCATGTAGGTCATACTTACCTGTTTTGCGGCGCCTGCGTGTCAAAACCTGAGGTTAACAATTTTCCCATAAAACAACACTCATGTGATGAGTTTATGAGACTTGCGAAACGGAAAACATTTTTAGAAAGCCAACCGGCTTCACTGGATAAAGACTGACCAACATTAACACATATGGAACACTGCACCGTATATATATATATATATATATATATATATATATATATATCCATTAATTTATTTGACACAACATTTGTCAGAATAGCTCAGGTACGTTTACTTTTATCTTCTTCAAAATCTTAAATAATTTATGGCCCAGCAACATTTCTCTTGTTGACCCATTCTCTTCTTGTTTATTTCAAGTACTTCCAAGTTTTTGTTGAACTTATATATATTGATGAAGAACTTGGCAACTTTAGGTAATGCACTATTCTGTCTGTCTATTCTTTTATTTTATGAATGTTATGAAATTCCACTATCTTGTCACAATATCTTTTTGTATGTAAACATCAGTATATTTACTTATTTGTATATTATTTTTTTATAAATTACTAGGTAGTAACTTTTCACATTTAAATTGTTTTATCACTGTTTACTACTATTTAAATTATATTTCCTAAAATAGTTTAGTCTAATGTGTACATGTAACTTATTCATGTCTAGACACAATATGTCTAATCTAAATTATATCCACGTATACAATCTGAAATGTATTTAATTGTTTATAATTTTCACCCCGTTTCTGTTTTATTTAAGGTGCTGCTAAACCGGGTAAATTTATACCACCTGAACCAAGTTTGCCTGATATACCCCCACCACGTAAGTTCATTTTCTTTCAGATAAAAATCTGAACTACTCAAATATAATTAAGTAGTCATTAATGTTCGCAAATTCGGTATTTTATAAACTCGAAACCATATATAATCGTAAGTTTCCAGTATGGTTTCAAATGGTCATTTGTAAATGTACATTAAATTGATGCTATCATTATAAAAATTGGCGATCAGAATTTTCAATAACATGCTCAGTAGTTAAAGTTTAATATTCTTTGCTTTTTTTAACCATACATTAATATCATAATCTGATTCAAGTGAAAATATCATTATGACGACGGCTCTAAGAAGCTCAGAAAGAGCCGAAGATATTCCATCCACTCATCTTTAGGAGTAATATTCTAGAGTCTGTACGTGTATCCTATCTATTGGACACATGCTTAAAACCCCTGTAGTTGGATTGGATGACTATAATAATGATTTCGTTTTTACTAAAACATTATAAATACTAGATAGTTTTGTACCATGTTTGACACTGTTTGGAATAGCATTCCTTTCACCTATCTTCTATCTTCTCATTTACGACTTGGAGAATTCCAGCGTTCGAATGTTTAGGTTGTACACGGTATAATAAGAATCTAACCTCTAGATATGACAATCATTCTATAAAAGATCATTTTCCTAACAAAGTATAAGAACTAATTCTGTCTCATACAATCTTTAATGCATTGAAATATCCATCAAACTATTGCACAAATTAAAACGATTATCAGGTTGCTTGATATTCGATAATTTTTTAAAATTATAATTGGGAAAGTGTTCAAATTACAGGTAACATTTAATTTTAAAGTAGTAACATTAAAATTCATGAAATAAACACACTTTCATTTTCATAGCTGATATTGTGTTGTTGATTTGATTATTCTAGGTCTTTATGACAGAAATGATTCATATTTATGTTATGTTTTATTGAAGAAGTGTGATTTAACATAATTATTTGATTGAATTGTATCATTGCATTTATCATTTGATGATAAATATGAAAGAAGTAGAAATGAAAATCATTCATACAGTGTCATAAACACATTAAGGATAAGATTTTAATTCGATGTTCATGGTATATTTATTCAGCTATCTTAATGTAGATATAATAGTTTTACCTATTTATAAAGTTGTCATTTGAAATTTTGTTTATTATAAGATATGGAGGGAAAATTTTACTGGGATTATCGGTCACATTTTCTGTGTTGAAGTAATAAGGTTTATCCTAATACTTTCACAAGAGACAATTGTTCCTAATTGTAGATATGGGAATTAAATTCTTTAACAAGAATTACACTTCAGTATCTAGTACTTATTCACTGAATCAAAGGGAAAACGATTGAAAATACTTGATGTAACATATTACTTGAACATTGGGTTTGTGACTAATAACTTCATCGAAAAATCCCTATTTAAAAATTTTACAAAAGCTAGTAGGGTAGAAACTCTACCTGTAGCTATTCTAGAGTTACTGCCGGCCCCAAGCCCGGATAAAAGGGAGTTGGGAATGGAGGTCGGTAACCTCATTCCGTAGAAAAAAACACTGCTAAAAAACACAGACCAGAATAAACAAATTGAATTATTTAAACTCTGACCAAAAAGTTGAAGGAAGAATTATAACGCCTCATCGTGAAAGCCGAGATTCTTCGGAATTCATGAGGCCAATTCCTCTTCTAATAATCAGTGCAGCAAATAATATAGGTACATGGAATGTCCAAACAATGTGGGAGACCGGGAGGACCAACTAAATAGCTGCGGGAATGAGGGGATACAATTTGGCGGTTCTTGGGATCAGTGAAATCAAATAAACACAAGCTGGACAGAAAAAGGTAAATTCAGTAGAGATGCTACTGTACTGCGGTCACGAAGAAGCAAATGCTCCACACACTTAGGGGTCGCTCTGATGCTGTCCAAAGAAGCACTAACTGCCCTTATAGGATGGCAATCTCATGGATCCTGAATCATCGAAGCATCCTCCTAAACAAAGAAGAAGGGAATTACAATGAACGATATCCAACGTTATACACCCACCAATGATGGCAACGACAACAATAAAGATCAGTTCTATGAGGGGCTGAAATCGATCATAGCGAAGTGTCAAGGAAAGGACCTGTAAGAAAGCAGCAGGACCTGACAGTATACCAGCAGAAGCGCTAAAGTCAGACACAGAAGCAACTGCAAAGATGCTCAATAGTCTATCCGGGAAGATTTGAGAGGAATGAGACTGTCACTGACAGACTGGAAAGAAGGATACTTCATCAAGATACCAAAGAAAGGAGATCTGAGCAAATGTGAGAACTAAAGAGGCATCACACTACTACCGGTACAAGGAAAAGTTTTCAACAGTGTTGCTGAAACTGATAAAAGATTCAGTAAACGTTCAAATTCGGGATCAACAGATCAGATTCCGTAAGGACTGGTCGTGCACAGGCCAAATTTGCAACACTAAGGATCATCGTTGAACAATCAACTGAGTTGAACTCATCACTGTACATTGACTGGATTATAAAAATCCTCTTATCTAACGGGAAGCATGGGGAACAATGGACAATCTGCATGCAACTAGACCCAGCCTTTCTATCTCATACACACGAACGAAAGCGGGTCAATAAAGCCACTCTAACAGGAGCCTCTTCATCAGTAGGCCTCTACATACACAAGGGAAAAAGCAAGATCCTCAAATGCAACACGGAGACTACCAACCGAATCACATTTGATGGAGCAACTTTAGAAAGTTTCACGTATCTGTGTAGCATCATCGATAAGCAAGGAGGATCTGATGCAGACGTAAAGGCGAGGACTGGCAAAGTAAGGGCTGCATTCCTACAACTGAAGAACATATGGAGCTTCAAACAACCGTCAGTCAATATCAAAGTCACAATTTCAAGACAGTTCTACTATACGGATCTGAAACTTGGTAAACTACCACAACCATCATTAAAACAGTACTAGTATTTATAAACAATAGTCTACGTAAGATACTGTTTGTTGGTCGGATACCATCAGAAACAGCCTACCGTGGGACAGAATAAACCAGATTCCTGATAAGGAAATCAGAAAAAGAAGCTGGAAGTTGATAAGATATACATTGAGGAAATCATCAAACTTAATCACAATGCAAGCTCTAACTTGGAATCCTAAAAGGAGATGAAAAAGAGCAAACCCAAAGAACACAATGTGTCGAAAATTGAAAGAAGACATGAAAAGGATAAATAGCGATTGGAAAAAGCTGGAAATGATTACCCAGGTCAAAATTGGGTGGAGAATGCTAGTGGGTGGCCTCTGCCCCTACACGAGAAGTAACAGGCAGATCACATAAAATATCATAATGAAAATCGGTAAAATTTTAATAAGAAGTCGAATCTCGCTAACAGTTACATAAGAATTAAGGGAAGAGTGTTGTAATTATGTGAGAGCGAAAGTTCGAAAACCTTTGTTGTTTTCGTCTTTATGTTTGTTACTGACAACAAAGCTGTATTGGGGAAGCTTGTATTTTGGTTGAATTACAAATTCTTTTATTTCATCTGTATTTTTATGTGATCTTATTGGGTTTTTTACACCAAATTTACTCCAAATCATACCCATTCTTTCTTTCTAATGCATTATACATGAAGTGAATAAGCCTTATTTTTACACTGCTGCTTTTTTTTCAATGAATACGATCTTTTGGCTATACTCGAAAGTAACTTCACATTAAGAAACCAAATTTGATGATCACAATTATTTATTTCATGTGTATAAGACTGTGAAGAGATAAATCATTTTACTGTCACATCTAATTAGAAATGTTCGGAATACTAATATCCTAAGCTTGCTGTTGAAGTGATCTGTTCCAAAAATAATTAACTAATAGAAAGTTCAAGTCCAAATAAAAAATCAATGCACACATTACTACATATCTATCATATATTGGGATTGGCTGTAGTTAACTCTTTTCCCTTGCCTTCATTATTCCATTTCTATCACATTGATATTGTGTTTCTTAGGAATTTAAAAGTAATTGTTCATAATTTACCGACAGAAGATAAATAATTATTTATACTTTATAAAACTATTTTGAGATAATGACAAAGTTTGACTCATGGTTCAATATTATACGTTAGTGCTAAGAATAAATCAAAGAGAAGAACAGACCTTGTTCATCACTAATATAAACGTTGACGTCTACAAATGGCCTTACGGGAAACTTAAGATACCGATGATATGTTAATATAATCTTCGTTATATGTTTCAGTCTACTCTGTTCATATTAGTGTTAAACTTATTCACTGTAGTGTTATGAAACCCACAAAAATGACACTGATAAAGAAAAAGCTAATGGCCGTTTAGGAATTATAGTATTTATTGTACCAATTTTTAACCTATCACTAGTTAGATGAAACACTATGCAATATAAATAATAGCACACTTTTTCAAAATAGTAAATTATATTAAATCCATTTTACAGTAACTATTTCGTTGTTCTAGGAACCCTTACTCAACATATCTAGGAATTCCGACAGTTGAGATCATGAATTAATTGAAGCTAGACCATCAAGGAAAACCTGGAAGCACTGGACGACCGTTTCGTCCTATTATGGGACTCCTCTACGATCCCGCCTCGCGAGATTCCAATCCAGGACCTATCAATCTCGCGCCAGGAGCCTAACCAACTAGACCACTGAGCCGGCATCCATTGGTGTTAATGTCTAACTTCAACCAATCCACGAAGTTGAGCCACCGTACACGATTGTCTTCAGTGAGTTGATATCTCACAACAGACCAGGTTAAACTCCACTGATCAGTGCTTCTTATTAGAACTCCAGGAAATACGTCTTGAAGTCAGTCACTAGTGAGCATATGTCGATTAATATCAGAAGGGGATTTTGCAGACATTATAGTAATTTCAATATTTGAGATCATGGGTCAATTGAAGCTAGACCACCAATATCCACAAAAACCCTTTGTGATATCTAGGAATGATGGTTAATCATCTTACATACACTATTATTTATCCTATGAAAAGATATTATGTATACATATGAACTAAAAATGATTTTCTTAATTTCTTTTAATAATTTACTTAGCACCTGTAACTACAGAAGCTCCAAAACGTGAGAATGTTTTCGATTTTTGTAATATCAGTGTTGATGCAATTATTAAAATTCGTAATTTAGAATTGTATGTTTTTAAAGGAGAAGTAAGTTTAGTTCAAGTTTCATTTTAAAAAAAGTCTTTTCAAAAACTACTATATTATTGACAATCTTTTTTTTATCAGAATGGGTTTTGTGGAGATTTTTAGAAATTTCACAAGTTGAAATCATGAGCCAATTGAAGCTAGACCACCATGGAAAACCTGGAAGCACTGGACGGCCGTTTCGTCCTAGTACGGGATTCCTCAGCAGTGAGCATCCACGAACCCGCCCCCGCGGGATTCGAACCCAGGACCTACTGGCTTCCTGCGCGAGTACTTAACCTTTAAACCACTGAGCCGGCATCCAACGGTGTTAATGTCTAACTTCAACCAATCCACGAAGTTGCGCCACCGTATACCATTGTCTTCAGTGAGCTCCTATCTCACAACAGACCTGGTTGAACTCCACTGGTAACGACGTCTCACTAGAACTCCAGGAGTGTCTCCTGAAGTCAGTCACTAGTGAGCAGGTGATTATTATTATCAGAATGGGTTTTGTGGAGACTTTTAGAAATTTCACAAGTTGAAATCATGAGCGCACTGCTGAGGAGTCCCATACTAGGACGAAACGGCCGTCCAGTGCTTCCTGGTTTCCCATGGTGGTCTAGCTTCAATTGGCTCATGATTTCAACTTGTGAAATCTTTTTTTCTTAAGGAAAAGAGAATCCAATAAAGGAAATTTTCTTTTCGACGGAATTATTTACTGTACATTCGTATATAGAGTTATCTGGAAAATATGTATGTATAGGAGGATAGAAAAGACTACATCACAAAAATGGATTTGAGACTAAATAACAAATGATGTACGTACTAAACAAGGGGTAAGGAAGAAAATAGTTTATGAGTCAGCTAATAGTCCAATTGACAGATATGATGAAAAACGACAAACAAAAAGGTCATGATAATAAACTAAATAATAATCATAAAAAATTGTATAAGGGTAGTAATAATAATAATAATTGACCAGAGTTTAAAATACAAAACAGTAATTTAAAAAATTCAATAATAATCAAATAAAAGTGCAAAAAGACATGCAGAAATAACCCCCAGAAACATACCTATCAAGCCATATATTTCTTCGATGATTTTGATTATTACCCTGAAGAAGTCCAGACAAGTTAGCTGGACGAAACGTTAGAATTATTTAAATCTCAATCGCTGGGATTATTTCAGATATAATTTTCACATATAATGATACCTATCAAGGGAATTAGGGCCAATGAGTGATAAGGGGTTGGACGGATTGTTTCTGTACGCAAAGTTCAGGCTTGAGCTCGTGAATTGCCAATGCCTCAGCAGTGCATAAAATATTGATTCGATACCCCTTTGATCCAGTTCCTTTGACTCTGTAGATCACTTTAAAAGAAGAATCTTTTGGAGTGATGTGTCCACAATAAATTAAGTACTCATGTATAGAACTAGTAATTTTCTTCCTTACCCCTTGATAAGTACGTAACCTCATTTGTTATTTAGTCTTGAATCCATTTTATGATGCAATCTTTTCTATCCTCCTATCGACATATATTTTCCATATAAATAAATATATATGAATGTACAGTTTAATTAAATGATTTCGTCGAAAAGAAAATTCTCTTCACTGAATTCTCCTTTTCTCATTCAATGACATAATGGGTCACTTTTTTCTTAAGTTTATGCGTTACATAAGTCAGGATAAAAAAGAATATTAGGCGAGATTCTAATTTATGGACGACCTTTGAACGAATTTTAAGTGACTTTGAGAATATTAGACAATCAGCGAACAGTAAGTATAGAGTAAAAATATATCATACAAAACCAAGGAAATATAAAACAAACACAAAATGATCTGAATATAGAATAATAATTGATAGTTAATTCCAAAAGAATTTCCTTTACAAAAATCTGAACAACTATGAAAAATGTTTAGTGGTCCGTAATCTGACTCCAATTAGATTATATGTTGATCGCTATTGAATGATTGCTATCGAAATATAGATGTCACCTATCCTCGTATATTTCATCAACTTAAATCGCGTTGATGAATAATGGAATTAAATAAGTGAAATACGAGAATGGATTTCCGATTACATATATTTTGTACACTTATTGATCTGAGCAGGCAATCTGAGGAATGAGGCGAAGGAAGCGACGAGAATTGAGTGGAGCGAAATGACGCGCGATGGAGAAGGCATGTAAGCCAACTCCAATATTTATAGTCACACAAAATTGAATTACAGATACGTGATGAGTATGATGAGAAATGAACACACATATGTTCATATAAAAACAGTCAGCATTGATAAGTGAATAATTAACAAGGTTAAAACGAGACTCAAGAAGAATGAATACATTAGCCTGTTCAGAAGCTAGAATAAGCTAATATGGGCTTAACATAGCAACCGACACTACAAATGAATATGTAGTGGTTTAATTAGATAAGAACATTTTAAATCATCTGAACTATGTATAATGTTATTTTTTTAAAACACTACTTTAGCAAATAATTCAAGCAGTCACATAAAGATGTAAAAAATCAGATTATTTGCCAAAAGGTGACAATAGTCGATATAAATCATATTTAACTAACTATAAATGTTTCAAGAACAATGATATATGCCTATAATTAATAGGACACTCTATTTTGAATATATTTAGCTCAGTTGAATACTTTAATTTGTGTTATATTCTGTGAAATGGATGTTTTGTTTGCAAAGCTTTCATCATCGTTCTTGGGAACATCATTATGTGAAGTGTCATGTTATACATAAAAGTGTAATAATAACTTCCTCATTTTGAAGTTAGTGTAAAGCGATTTGTTTGAAATTAACGACTACTGACTAATACTCGAACCAGTCAACTCAATACACATGAAAACCACCATAAGTTTTATCAATTCAGTGGCGACACTACAAATTCACTGTTACTTCTAGAATCATTTTAAAAGTTAAATATGAAAGAAGAGACTTTAAACCTTATAGTTTCATTGAATGCACTAACAGCTCACAAATTCGTAGATAAGAATGACGATATAGATAAGGCGTAAAAGTACGAAAGTTAACATTGTATTAAATGTTCAGTCCAGGTACATATAAGCCAAGCATACTCTCCTGGACAGTTTATTAAAATCAAAGACTATGATACAAAATTTTATCAACAAAACATGATGATGAATAAGCAGAAAACATTCTATACAAATTAATTCTAAGTAATGCTAAATATCATTTCATTTTTCTTAATCTTAAAGTGGCAATGGCGAGTAACATGGTCAAAAACTGTAACAACATGGATTACCTACCAATTTCGTGACGGTCCAGCAAAAATAACTTATTACTGGCCTGCATTACCTAAATACGTTGATTACATTAATGCTGGTATTGAACGCCATGATGCAGCTATTTATATTTTTCGAGGTAAATTTTAACTGTTTTCATTGAACAACTGGTTTTAGTCAAATTGTATGACTTAGTATTTTTTTATTTACTTTTCAACAAACCTAGAAATCTAAAATCGTTTGTGTTGGGGAGATTCAGAAAACTCCTCGAAAAAAGCCAAAAAGGCTATGAAAACATTAAGAAGCATCTTATCATAATTCAGTAGAAGTGTTTTCAGAATCATCTAGAAAGTGAAAAGTCACATGTCGCGTTTCTGATTATGTGGTCAACTATACTGCTACTGTGTTTAGTAGCGTTCCAGAATTTCCCAGAAACTCAAGGCCATCTAAAACACTATAAAAGCCACAGATTTTCTGTACATAAACGGACCTTTGGGGTGAAGCGTTTCTTTCATATTTCGCGTCTTTTCTCTCGTGTTGCTGTGTAGATATAGCCTAAGGGTTACTAGAAGAGCTTATGAACCGAATCTAGCGTTCAATTAGAAGACTTATCAGTTTGTAAAGTGATTTTATTATTGAACATTTGAAACTGATATCAATTAGCTCAATATTTATTGGTGATATCATTTACTTTTTAGATAATGTTGTCATCACAAATATTCTATTTAATCTGATAATATTTTTGTGTACTAGATACATTTCTTTCATATAATGAAAAGTACTTTTTATTTGATGAATCTGTGAAAAAGAGAATGAAACTCCAAACATTGTGAACTAACTTTAATCAATTTATCATGTGAACAAAAATAATATTACTGTTTAAACTTTATCATACCAGCTACCATATCTAATCTCCTTGAGTTCTGAATCAAAAAAGCATGGAGAATGAAAAGTAACTGATTATATTATCTTAGCCTAAACTAGAAGATTCATCTGTTGTGATATGATTCAGAGTTTAGATTGATAGAAGAAACAAGATCCAAATATACGATGAAGCACTCAACTAACTGATCATCAAAAGTTTGATTATAATTCCTAAAAATTAGATTTCATTAAATCACCTTTTTAGTATCCGTAACTCTACTTGGTAGATATAACCGACCATAAAATCCCCACTGTCATTTATCTTTTTTAAAGTACTCGATAATCAAATGTTTTGTACATAAGTAGTTGAATTAACCCAGATAGAGGTTGTTATAACTCGTGACTGCAGATTAGACGGCAGTGTATTATCGATCGGACCAAAGACGCGTAAACACGTAAGAACGGCCTAGAGTTCCGATTGGTCCCTCTTCCCTGTCTAGCCCAGCCAGTTGAGTCCAGAAACACAAATTTCAGCCTTTGAGATATGAATCATTATATTTCAAGCATACTGAGTTTATATACCAACCAAACCGACCACAACGTATCAATAAAACATAAAACAACATTTGTACAAGAATTAGCCAGCTTTGGATGTGAATGAGGGAGGTAGCGATCGACAGATAGGGAATAATTCATGAATGGTAAATCGTATAATAATAGTTCATAGGTCAAAATAAAGCTCACAATAAGAGGGACATGAATATGAACAGTTTAGTTACATAACAATTATACGATAAAAATATACTCATAATATTGGTCCATAAATGGACCCCAAAAATTACCATTCATTATTCTTATCGGGATACAACAGAGGTTGATTTGAAAGATTCAGTCATTGGATTATTTACATGGAATTTCATTTGCTCAAATCGTTTCACAATGAACTTTATTTGTTATCTTTCGAATAACAAAAGTATGCTTAAGAAAACATAGGTGCTAAACCAATTATTTGAAAGTAATATAGATTAGTATAATTCCAAAGATATTTTAAGTATTGTTAGTACCAAAAAGTTGTCCCAGTTATTTGGTTGAATATATATGTTATGTAGAGCTTTTGTTAGTTCAACGCTTTAATAATCAGAAAACACTTTTTGTTCATTAAAACATTGTAAAGATGAGTAAATTCTAATTGAACATCTCAGCTATTGCTACAATTAACTGTACTCATAATATTGTAACTAAAACTTAGAACAAGAATACTGGTTGAAACTTGGAGCTCATCAAAACAAACAAACAAACAGTGTTGAATTGTGTACAGAAAATCAAGACTTATTTAATTATAACGTTCATAAAACTAACTTGATTTTATTTGCTTTTTTTAATCCAACATTGATTGCAGATAAAAAATTCTGGCTACTTCTGGATAATATGAGAATGAAACCTGGATTTCCAAGTGATGGATTACCTCTAACTAATCTTGGACTTCCATCGTACCTGGAACGTGTAGACAGTGTATTTTTATGGGGAGAAAATCAAGCAATTTATATCTTCGCTGGAAAATATTACTGGCGCTTGGATGAGAATTCTGGTCCATTTGGCAAAGTAATTAATGGTCCGGACTATCCTCGTCTGATAGAAGATACATGGCAAGGAGTTCCTGTTCCTACACAAGCTGCATTTACCGGTCTCAATGGTAATTTATTTGTTCACATATTTATTCCTTATTGTGGTTAGATATCTCTTAGCGATAATAATTATTTTCTTCTAAAAGATAATAAAAATTTTTAATGAGCAGAAAATGACCATTAGCAGTCAACCGCAGGTAACTGTATACTTTTTCTTTCATTCCGTCCTGCTGGTCTTATCTTAAACATATTTATACTCCAATGTACCATTTTATTGTTTTAGATATAGTGTACACTACTGATTTTGTAGACTCTGCATTAATTTGTATTTGACTTCTGCTTCTTCAAACGATCGTTTATCTGTCCTGTAGTACAACAGTAGATGAAATAAATGCTATTCAGTGAAAGTGGTTGATGAACTTAATTAAATAGAGTTAATAGTCGTCAGCCACCACTTACTGTAGATCACCAGGTGGCGATTCGCTCATCAAATTTATTTCGTTTTCATGAGCTACTGAAATCCTAACCAGTAGTACGGTTTTTAATTCCAAGCCACTTTTCGCTTGAGCGTTTTGTTTGATTCTTAACAAATTATAGTAATTCAGTATATGATTGTCTAAAACCTCTGTTCAAGGTTATAACTCAATGCCTAAAAATGGGCCGTTTCAAGTCTAATTTTTGAAGAAACAAACAAGAGGTCAGTTGTTATGTGCTGTAACTTGATGGGTAGAATTTTTCCAACATTAAATGACTAGACAAACATGGAATCACTCACTACCCAGCGACCAATCACTCGAATTTTAATATCAATTTCTTCGTAAGTGATGAGTGAGTTCAAAATTAGACATTTCACAATCTAGTAAACTTACGATTTATTATAAAACTAAATAACCGTTCGTTGAGATGGATACACTTTATTAAATGACCAAACCTAATTTTAATTTTATTCAATCCACCAACTGTTATATTATACAAATGAATAGCACACAGGGATTTGCATCTCAAGGTACCTTATACTGTTTCATATTCAAAATCCAACTACATATAAAAAAGATATTTATGTGAAAATAGATTTTATTATTCTTAAGTTATACTCATATTGGTTTGAACTAATATCTTATTACTGTGAGATCTGTATGCTTACTGTAAACTAACTCTCAAAGGTGATTTGTAATTATTTAATTCATGTCTGTCAAATATTCATTGAGTTTGAAACTTATGGTTTATCAGTCATTGGATTATTTATTAAATATTATTCTTTATATGATTAAATAATTAGTTAGTATACTATTATAAAGTGAGCGGTGTTAACCGAATATCTATACCTGTATGACAGAGCGGTTAATATTCAGATCTACACATCAGTTAGTGGATACCATTATCGTCTCCCTTTATTTAGTTGTTTTACAAAGTCATTAGTAGCAATAATACTGAATTAAAGTTACAAAACTAAACCAATAATGTCTATGTTATTATTCTGTAAACATAACAAAGTCTCTTGGAGATTAAATGTGACTAAAGGATAATTTATCCTGTAAATAATAAATTAATTAATTGTCATATGATTAAATGATAACAAACCGGTAGTTCATTTCAGTTGAACATCATAGTAGAAATTAAATTTTTTCTAATATTATTCAGCCAAACATCTTGTTGAATTATCTTTAAACTTCTTTGATGACACCATGAGTTTCTTTCGTTATGTGAAGACTTGAAAGAAAACAACACATTAAAGTTCAGTCAGCTAATAGTTAAGAAATCATGAACGAATTAAAGATAGAAATTGAAGGTTACATTTTTTCCTATGATTCTTTGCTTTTAACCGTTGTAGCAGACTGAGTATTCGTATTCCTTTACCTTGAATAAAAGATTTCTTTAGCATTCTATGCTATGTGCTTATTTATCAGTTATTACTTAGACACATGATTTTTTTCCGATTCTGCATGTGATATCTAACAATACAACTTAGCATCGAATCGACAAACTAGACTCAATAAATCACTAGGTAAATAACTTAGATACTGAATGTCTGACCAATAATGAAGTACCATACCTGGTCCAGATAGTAATTTATTAACACATGTAGAAGCACTAGCTTAACTTTAATTTAGTTGAAAACTATATTTCACGTAAGCTAACATGAATTTAACCTTTTTTGTAGCTTAATTCGTAATTACACAACTATTGATATGAATTCCTTAGGTAACTTAAGGTTATTAAATTAAATTCAGTTTATTTGAAGTAAAATAATTTATCAGAAGGGGTTTGTGGAGATTTTAGAAATTTCACAGATTGAAATCATGAGTCAATTGAAGTCAGACCACCATGGAAAACCTGGAAGCACCCCTTCTGATAGTAATCATCTGCTCACTAATGACTGACTTCAAGAGATACTCCTGGAGTTCTAGTGAGAAGCCGTTACCAGTGGAGTTCAACCAGGTCTGTTGTGAGATATCAACTCACTGAAGACAATGGTATACGGTGGCTCAACTTCGTGGATTGGTTGAAGTTAGACATTAACACCACTGATCCCGGCTCAGTGGTCCAGTTGGGTAAGCGCCTGGTGCGAGACCGATAGGTCCTGGGTTCGAATCTCGAGGGGTGTGGGATCGTGGACGCGGGCTGCTGGGGAATCCCGTACTAGGACGAAATGGCCGTTCAGTGCTTCCAGCTTTTCCATGGTGGTCTAGCTTCAATTGCCTCATGATTTCAATCTCTAAAATAATTTAATTGACTTTATTTTTTCAAAGTAACTTTCTATTTTTTTCTGTACTTCATAAAATTGAATAAATATCTCTTTTTGTTTTTGTTTTTTAAAAAAAATAGATGAAACTTTGTTTTTTGAAGGTACAAACTACTATGTATTCGATAATATAGCAATGCGTACACGTCCTGGATATCCAAAACAAGCCTCACTAGGTATACTTGGTTGTATGAAATGATTAAGAAATAACTGAATTGAAACAGAAGAAGAAGAAAAAAAACACTACATCATTACAAACCATTAGCAGTATTAAAACTAAAGTTCATTTTGAATTTCAGTCAATTGTTTTTACTCATTAATTTTATATGTTTATATGTCAATTTTGAACAGAAACTGTGTAATAAATCCTAGTTTATTCAAATTAACTTGAAACTTTATATTACTTTTTTTAGAAATATAAGAATTTATGTATACCCTACATGAGAAAATGAAAAAAGGTTATCACTTTTACATCAATAATTACCAAAACTATGAAGAGAAACATCTGAATCATAAGTAAAAAGGAAAACTAGCAAGAATTCCATATACATATACATATATATATATGCTTTGTAATTTATTGTATTCATAATTAACTTGACATGCCTCTTTTGTGGATTGGATTACCTTTCAATGTGAGACTATAATTTATGGACGACCTTTGACTGACGCTAGACTGACCTTGAGAGTGTCCAACTGATAACTAGAACCAAATGAGCGTTATAAATTAGTGTGAAGAATTCGAATTATGATTTACAGTTGATGGTTAACGTTAGGAATTAGATTTAAGCTTTTCATCACGAACTGACATTAACTATAATGCCAAAACTCTATTTAGAGAAATAGATGAATGAATTTTGCGCCAAAATCCGAAACCTGTTATATTACACCTGATTGGTTGGTCCATAAATTATGGTTTCGCCCCTCTCAATTTTATTTATTATTCTTCATATAATAAAAGATTTCCTTGATGAGGTAGATTTTAAATAGTTTGACTAGAAAATTTCAATCAACTTCTCTTTAACACATCTACCTATCTTTACATATGAACCTGTGAAATGTCTTTTTCTGTTCATTTTTTTTTTAAATTTTCAATGTTTTCTTTAATTCCTTAGTCATTTTTTTCTTGTTTTGAGGACTTTTATTCGTGAACACTCTGGAAAATTAAAGCAGTTATAATACTAATTACCTTGAAAGTAACCATACTATTTGTAGTTATTACTGTTGTTAATAATATCATAACTATCAAACTATTACAACTGTGAATATAACGAGCGATTCTAATTGTTATGAATTTAATCTTGTAATGGTTTGAATTATTTTATGATTGATATTGTTGACTAAATTTTGATCAGTATTCGTTGTCATATGTGTATTCTTTACAGATTACTTTTACATAGCCATTTTTTCACAAGTTTACATAAAACAGATGGAATGTGACTAAAAGTGGAATTCAGAACGTATATTTCGTCCATATTTTGGACGGGAATCAACTATTGGAAGAAGGTACACTTGGTTGAGAATAAGACAAAACGCGCGTCCACATTCCACCTATTCTATATAAAATCTTTTGTTAGCGTTACTGTCAGCATTATTATTAGTATTTATATCGCGAACGAACAAGAAGGCTTTAGGTTCAAGACTTACATAAAAAGTTATATACAGATGTATATGCACACGAACTCATACATATGCACAACAGACAGTGGTCATTTAGTACCAACTCTAAACTAAGCTTTTACTTGGTCTTGCTTATCACCAGCGTCATCATCGTATAAGCAAACAGTGAATGATAAGTATTTTGCCTTAGCCTGTGTCTAAGATTTCCCTGACTTTATATTAAGGAATTGTGAGAGTTGTACACGACAACTAGTAGCCTGAGAATTTCAGTTAATCTTGTGAAAAAAGCAACTGCTTTTATGTCGGTATTTAAGTGACGAAACGTTTATGTTGTGAGATATCAGCTCACTGAAGACAATGGTATATGGTGGCGCAACTTCGTGGATTGGTTGAAGTTAGACATTAACACCGCTGGATGCCGGCTCAGTGGTCTAATGGTTAAGTGCTCGCGCGCGAAGCCAGTAGGTCCTGGGTTCGAGCCCCGCGTGGTGCGGGATCGTGGATGCGCACTGCTGGGGAGTCCCGTACTAGGACGAAACGGCCGTCCAGTGCTCCCAGGTTTTCCATGGTGGTCTAGCTTCAACTGACTCATGATTTAAATCTGTGAAAATTTCTAAAATCTCCACAAACCCCTTCTGATTTATGATATTTATCAAACTGTTCGAAATAACTCTGGAAAATACATAAGATTAGTGTCTTAACTTCTGAAACCACTGAGGTATACGTCCAATCTTGAGAAGTCTTGTTTTTTGACAGTCACACCGGTGTCATTTTAAATGGTGATATTGTTTGCAAACAGAAATGGGTCATATATATATATATATATATATATATATATATATATATATATATATATATATATATATATATATATATATATATATATATATATTTACCAGTCACTTGATTGCTATCCGTTTCTTACTTCTTGGTCGATGATCAATATTGAGTGATCGCTAGTTAGAAGTTAGCAGGCCAGTCATTCGACACCTAAATAATGTACATTCTTCTCGCTGCATATTGTCAGCAACCACGATATCTCTGATTCGGCTTTTTGTAACTTGTACAACGAAATGTTGTACACTTTTCATAAACGCACCTGAATATATTATGCGAATAATAGCCATGATGATGTATTAAAACTAACAAAACTGTATAACTTGTTGAAATATCTAGATGACAGGAACAGGTAGCCCAGATGTTCAAGTAGGTCGCCCTGAGGCTTTCTAATAACAGTCTTAAACCAATAAATATTGACGCTCATATCACTAATGTAAACGATTGAATTGCGAAAGTAATGGACAAAGTTTGATTAGCATCAAAACCTGAGAAACGTAAAAACTGTGCAGTCTTATGGCCATTTAATGTATCTTAAATCCAACTTTAAAAATACATTCTTAAAATCAAACAAAAATCAAGATAAATGATGTATATCTAGATCGATTTATTCAGGCTCATCATTTCTTATACATTAAACGACTAACGATAACATATGAATTTATTCCCCTGAGGTATCTCAGTAGGAAAATATGTCTATAATACAGTGTTGTATGATAATTATAAATAAATGTTCAATTCAGTCGCACTTGTTACTTGTTTCAAAACGCTAACATAAGCTACTTTAATTATTTAAACTCCTTAAGACATTCTCACTTCCGATTCGTCCAATTCAACTTGTTTGCAATAAAATGACGATCCAACCATTTCATTAGAGCAAACAGTCTTCATAATAGCATCACCGTCAGTTTTTCTCTCCGTATCTGCACTTTTTGCCATTTTTATATGTTGTGCTATACTACTTTTTGTCACAGAGTAGCCTCAATGTATCCGACTAATTTTATGCCCTGAGAACAGAAACGTATGAAGTTTTTTCGTACCAACGAATTACTTATTCATTAATTCGACATTTCAGCTCGATCTTTGTGCTTGAGATAGTAGTTTTTCCCTTAACTTATTATATGGTCTTTTTGGCATATATTTGGTGAATCTGTGTGCTATTTTTGAATCACCTACCTAGTTCCAAAACATTGTGCTTGACTTATTTTTATTAGTCGATAATATCTTCGGTTGACAGAGTTTTGTTCTGTCTTCCAATCTATATTACATGTTGTGATTATTTCCAAGGGTATACTTTCATTTCTTTTATATGCTTCTGATGACATAATTAAGACTTTGACACCTAACAATAAGAGGTTTTTCAATTCTTAGTCTATATGTTGTAAGCCATAATGGTACTGCATTTCAACATGAATCTCTTCATTTTAGTTCAAAATTGATAAAATGTTTTCGAAATACATTGAAAAACAAAATACGTCTTAAATACTTATTGACTTCCAGGACAATCTTCCGTAGGATTTACATCAAAAATACCAAAGTAACTTTATCTCACAAAATGAAGAAAAGCGGATGATGACCACCTTTCAGATTGAGTTGTTCAAAAGCATGCTTGTATGTTTGATATGCATCTCTATGCCTTTTTTAATTGGTTGGTAATAGATAGCTGAATGCCTTAAAGTATTACCACGATCAGTCACCTTTTACAATTTTTTGTTTTGCTTAAAATTTGAAAGTATTCTTATCTTATGACTTGAAAATTTTGAAATCTACGCAATTGAATTGTTAAATATTTAATAAGAATTACAGAAGCTAATTATGTTTATTTAAAATCATTCAATTTGTACTTATAACTGTATACACTTTTTTCATGGGAAATTATTACTTACTTACGCCTGTTACTCCTCGTGGAGGAACCCACCAGCACTCTCCATCCAACTCTGTCCTCGGCAATTCTTTCCAGCTCTTTCCAGTTGTCATTCATCCTTTTCATATCTGCTTCTATTTCCCGACGTAATGTGTTCTTTGGCTTTCCTATTTTCCGTTTCCCTTCAGGGTTTCAAGTTAGCACTTGTCTCGTGATGAATTTTGATGAGTTCCTCAATGTATTTCCAAAGTATGTCCACCGTCTTTTCCTAATTTCCTCTGCAGTTGTAAGCTGGTTTATTCTCTCTCAGAGTAGTCTGTTGCTGATGGCATTGGGCCAATGGATGATGAGTATCTTGCATTAACAACTATTTATAAATACTTGTATCTTCTTCATGATGGTTGTAGTAGTTCTCCAAGTTTCAGATCCGTACAGTAGAACTGTCTTGATGTTGGTATTGAAGATTCTGAATTTGATATTGATTGACAATTCTTTTGAGTTCTATATGTTTTTCAATTGTAGGGATGCAGCCCTTACTTTGCCAATCCTTGCCTGCATTGATCCTCTTTGCTTATCGATGATGCTTCCGAAATAATTCCTAATAGAAAGAAACTGAATTACTGAGATCATTTCTAATAACATGTAAAGCTTATAAAATATAGCGGTTAATATAGACAATTTTCTGATATACAAGTGATTACAGATATTCACTTGTAAAAGAAGATAGTTCAGTGATAAGAACTTTCATTTTGAAAATACTAATCATTAAATTTGTACAATTGTATTAATATTTAATATTTTTTACATATCCAAGTATAGAGTACAAGTTACGTAATACTATTCAAAGTAATGATAATGTGAAAATAATGTATTTCAGTTTGAAAGCTATCTGTACACTTAAATATAAAGAAATTGAAGAACAAGTGACAATAACTACTTGTAAAACTGAGTGTCCTAGGAGCATATCAGAATGACAGTTTGGTTATGGATCTTTTGAATATTGATATCAGGTTTGAATTAGTAAATTGTATGTAGCGTCAGCAGTGATCCAGTTATCCTGAAGGAAGTTTCCGGTGGCTTTACGTGACTAAAGTTGAACATATGTTCGATAACTAAGTTGCTGGGTGATTCACACTTCTTTTAGATAGTAGCCCTCTAGAAAACGTCTAGAAAATAAACTTACATGCCAACTAAAACGTGTTTTACTGAAGTAAGTAAACTAATAAATACTCAGTAAGGTGGCTTAAAGAGCCAATTTATCCATCACACTGCTCAGAATGATGTGCTAACTGGAAGAAATCCAGTGCTATGATGAATAAAAGATTCTTATCAGGAATACCGACAGTTAGTTTTTCGTGGTTTCACTTGCTGTATCCATTTTGAACTAAATATCTATGAACGAAATCTTTCTGAAGTTGTTCAGATGCTTCCAATTTTATGTTTTGGTTTTCGGTTACTCTGGATGAACTTAATAGCCAATTATTCTCCATAAATCTCCATCGACTGTTTTCAATTTATCATCTATTGTGTTCTCTATACATATAGGTCTAGGCCTCGAGGTTGAAGATTGGTTTGAATTTTTCTTTATACTCAATGGAACTCAAATTTTGAAATTCACATACTAGCCATTCCAGATTGACTTTGAATATATCGATATTTATAAATAACTATCTAATCCTTATTTCAGAAATAATTCAAAAGAATAAAATTCTAAGTTTCCTTTCGATTCTATTATGAATTTTATTAACTTTCTATAATTATTCAGTTTATATAGGATCCTATTATGATTACATTGAAATCAACACCAAATTATATTCATTTATTCTTTAAGCAAAAATGAAAATGGATAGTAAATCATAATGTATAACCACCAAAATTAACTGATCAATTGAAATCTTAACCATCATTAGAAAGATTTAAATGACTAATATTTATGAGTTATTTACATTATTATTCTGTTTTATTATATTATTTTATTTATTTATTTATTTTAACACATAGATATTGTTACAAGGAGGCATCAAATACATATGCACCACACAAATCTCATTCGATATGTGTGAGGGCTGTGATACTGTCCAGACCGAAACAGGCGGTTTTCTTAGGAGGCCATACCCCGA